CTTCTCCACCAAAGGTTTCAAGCAAGACTGAAAGAACATGAGGTAAGCAAGATTGAGAACTCCACAGTTACTAAACTCCTGTCAGCGATGATGATCTCTCTTCCTGAGCTGAGTAACAAGTCTAGATTTGTGTTACAGCTTTACGTATCACAGACAGCAAAAATCAAGGTTGTCTAATCATGGCTAACCAATTATCCACCAAAAGTCTTATTCAGTCAACAGAAGTCATGACTAGTTTACCATGAGTAGCCAATAGGATCTAAGATTGATGCAGGTCAGCGTTAACTCACACAAGTCCAGGTTGACCACAGCAGTCCTTGACAGAATGACAGCCACTCACTGATCAGCGAGTCTTCCAAACTGCAGAGAAATGTTGTTTTTCACTTTCTCAAGTCTGGGTAATACATACATTTAATGCTAATGGATATGTTTTAAAAAACTAAGGGCTGAATCCAAGACTATCCTACAGGCTCTGGTTATAGGTCTGATGTCCTCCTTCATTCAACAGTTATTATGTAACAGTTATTATGATGCTATTACATCACCAGCTATTTACTGAACATCTCGTGCATGTCAAGTTCCTCGGCCCCAGCATACAGTCTCCTCCCTGGGGTTGAATAGCCATTACCTTAGCTCTTTCACTCGACCCATCCACATCGACTGTCATCCCTCCAGAAGGCCATAGTGAATACTTATGATGGCCACCAGCTTGTCTGCTGTAGATCCTGAGAGCCAGCCTCCCTGCACCAGCTTCCTCCCTGCCAGGGATGCAAGAACACGGCCCCTTCATAGCAAACTGCGCCATAAGGTGGGCCCGATAGACTGTAGCCATACCTAGAAGCTGCTGTTCAATTCCTCGTGTCATCCACATGGCCTTGAAGGCAGACAGCACTACTGCTTAATGCTGGCCTTGAACAGGTGAAGCATGCAAGAAGAAACTGCGGAGCTGGCCAGGAGAGGACGCGTCCACGCGTGTGCCAGCCTCACGCCTCCCTGCTGGCCGGCGTCACGGAAGCTCTCAGGGCCTCCTGGAAAAACAAAGTTCAACAGTCAGACTTGGGGTTCAGAAAACTGGGTCCTAAAACCTCAGCCACAAGCCTTGGGGCACTGCGAAAGGGTTCCCGACTTGAAGGCATCCGCAGATACCCACCGAGGCTCCTCCTCAGGTCCTTGTCATGACTCAGATCCACGATAGCCTTTGGTGCCCTTTGAGTTCCAGACTGGTCTAGAAAATGGCTGTTTGCCCACGCAGGTAGAAGGAATCTCCCTCGCCTTCTGATGCCAACCCTGGTCTCCACCCTCAAGTCATCCCAAGTTGTTACTCCCTGGTACAGTGACAATCTGTAATCTAGGACTCTCATCTGAACAGACCTTGTCAATAAGCCCTCCAGTCCTTGATTGTTAACCTGAGAGCTCTGACTCGCTTGGGTCACAGGGACACACAAAGCTCTGACTCACTTAGGTCACAGGGACAATGAGGAGGCTACTGGCTAAGATGGGCAGGAGCTTGCTTCCCAGGCAGGGCCCCCTCTCCTCTATATCTGACCTCCCCTCCCTTCACCCTGCTCCTCTAAATATGACCAAATCCTTCATCATATTCAGCCATTTGGTCTTTCCTCTGTGTATGTGTCTACCTTCTGCCTGATTCAGAACCATCGCATTTGAACTTCTAAAACCTATTTTTATAGCCAAGTCTAACCATCTGAGGTCTCTTGGTTTGAGTCTGATGTATCTGACTTTAACTCACATTGAATCCCATGGCAAGAAACATGTGTTTTCTCAGAATTCCTCAAACAGAAAGGCTCAAGTTTCTAACACTTCCTGGATCTCATTTTAGCAAAAAGTGCAGGAGCCAGAGTTCTGTGCCTTCTAGGGCGCATGAGAGGGAGTGTGGGATCCCTCCTGTGTCTGCCTCACGGGGCCTTGGCTGCACTGGGCCTTGGCTGCACTGGGCCTTGGCTGCACTGGGCCTTGGCTGCAGTGCCTTCTGATGGTGAGGATTGGTGTTGGCTTCCCAGCGAAGCCAGAGATAAGACATATCCACTTTAATAATGCTAAAATATGTGGAGTCAGCCTATATGAAAACATTAAAGTATCAATGACCTGGGACTCCGTCCACCTCCCCACCCACATACAGCCCTTGAAGCTCAGGTCCCCAGCAAAAGCAAGGGTTGTGCCACAGTTCAGTGTGGTGGTGAGGGAGGATGAGGATGTGGGCACCACACCTCATGTGAGCCACAGGCCATGTCTGTTTACCCAGCCCACAGATCACAATCCCTCTGGCATATATTTCGGTCACTGAGGACTCGGCCATGATTTTCTGGAACTGAGACTTCCTGACACCGGGCCAGAGTCTGATCTGGAAAACCAAGAAGTGCTATTTAGTTTCTGTTGTTGTTTCTGAGCCACGGATGGGTAATTAGTGACATATGAAGTTCCTTAAGTCTCTCTTCTTTCACCTGAGCATTCTGGCTTTGGTTTTCTCTGCTCCACAGTGACTAAGAGTTTGCTGACCGAATTATTTGGTTTTTAATACACAAGAGATCCCCTGTGTCTTTCCTTTTTCCCTCTTGCGCACAGACTCTCTTCCATGTGTTCTTGACCAGGAAGCAATGAAAGATTCTTCATATTATGGGTTTTCTGGTTGGCTGGTTGGTTGGTTGGTTGGTTTGAGACAGGGTCTCCCTATCATCCCAAAACTCACTATGTAGACCAAGCTGACCTGGATCTCACAGAGATCTACCTGATTGTGACTCCCAAATTCTGGGGTTAAAAGTGTGTGCCACTGTGCCACCCGTTACATTGTATTCGTGCATCTGGAAGCCACTGGTGCCCTGTGGTGTTCTGAGGATGCTGTTCTGACTGGCTGCTCTGCAGAGAGGCCTGCTGGGGTTCTAGAACACTGTTAGTTTGGATTTTGAGCACTGTTGTAGCATCAGAAGAAGAAAAACCAACCACATTTTCTTGGAAAATGCATGTCTGGGCTACGTGACAACATTGCAGTCTTAAACCAGATTCCTGGCCCTTACAGTTGAACCATGCCAGTAACAAGATGCTTATTTAGACACCAGAATCTTCGGGTGTCCACATAAAAATCCTAAACAATGTGCATTCCATGAGCTTTCTTGGCTCATGAGTTCAGTGTTGAAGGACGTTAGTCCGGCTCCTGTGGAGATAATGGACTACAGGCAAGATTGCACTCAAGTGAGACTTCTTTTCTGCTCAGCACATGGTTCCTAGATTCAGAATGGTTTGTAGAGTAGGTATAAATCCTACCGAAACTGGTAAGATGGAGCTCCTTGCTTTTAATGCTTAGAGCAATGGTTTTCTGTCGGACAATCTGAAGAGAGCAGAGTCAGCGGGAAGCGCTTGCCACTCGCCGCTACCTCAGGTTGGTTCCAACAAGCACCGCTCCACTAGCTGCATCTGCAAAACCATGTGGTAGAAACTGGGGGATGAAGAGGACGCAAAGGACCCTCGCTCCATTTCAGAAATGTCCCACAAAATTCGGATATATTGCTTCTTTTGTCAAAGTATTTTTCAAGAAATTAAAAAACAAAGGCAATATATTTAGCAAATACATGTCAAAATTTTTATTCACCTAATTAATAAGAGGGGTGGATGACAGACTGGGTCAAAGGACAGCGTGAGGGAAATGTAGAAAGATTAGAAAGATGATAGATATAGATAGATGATAGATAGATAGATGGATGATAGATGATAGATGAATAGATGATAGATAGATGATAGATGATAGATAGATAGATAGATAGATAGATGATAGATAGATAGATAGATGATAGATGATAGATGAATAGATGATAGATGATAAATAGATGATAGATACATGATATATAGATAGATGATAGATGATAGACAGATGATAGATAGAGCAATAGGTTGATAGATGATAGAGAGATCAATAGATTGATTGATTAATAGATTGATGATTGATTGAGTGATAGATGATAGACAGATAATAGATATATGATTGGTTGATTGAGTGATAGATGATAGACTGATAGAGATAGACAGATTGATAGATAAATGATAGTCATGATGAAAGAAAAAACCTGAGATGAGATTACTGAGTTGGACACAGAGTTGGTTGATGTACCACAAGGTGATGAGACAGTTGCCTTGGAGATTGTTTTTCTTTGGGCAGAAATCTGTGCCAAACCCAGACTTTTTTAATCACTGGTCTTCTGCAACCTTCACATAGAAATGAATGACTGCCGTGTTAGACAGAGCAGCTCTGAGGGGCCACTAATGTCAGATACCTCTTCACTGCCCTGTTTTTAATTTTTTGTATTTTCCCACTTTGTAGATTTAACACACACACATACATACATATGGCAATATATAGGTTATAATAAGGAACTAAATCTAGAAAAGAACCTGGAGAAGACTCCTTGGAAATTCCTAATTCTTACATGCATTGTGTAGTGTCTTTGGCAAATGTGATGCCTCGCACAGTGGCTTCCTGGGGGTGAGCTCTTCTAAAGTTGCTCTGCCAAGCCAAGGAGCCACCTAAGCTAGGCTGCTTGGAGGGGGTCCCAGCGACGCCTGATCACACATGAGCTTGTGATTCATCTTAATGTGACAGTAGCAGTCATCTCTAGTTTTGGTTAGGAGAAAGTGCTATTAATATTTCATGGGGTGTATTTATATGTGTATATGTGTGCCCGCTTATCTACCTGCGTACCACATGCATGCAGTGCCCAAGAGGGCCAGAGGAATATGTTGGATCCCCCTTGAAACTGGCATTACAGGCCACCGAATGATGCGGGCATCGGGAACCGAACCCAGGTCTCCTGTAAGAGCAGCAAATGCTGTTGACCGCTTCCTGAGCCATCGCTCCAGCCCTGGGGTTTGGATTGTGAGGGCAATTCTTGCCGCAGTCTCTGTCACTCAGAAGAGCCTGAGGCGCGGGGAAGTGAGTTCTGGTTTGTGCTGAAGCCAAGCTGCTTTTCTTACCGTGCCCATCTGTTTGCTTGCAGGGCTTTTTCCGCCGAAGTATTCAGAAGAACATGATCTACACTTGCCACCGAGATAAGAACTGCGTCATTAACAAAGTCACGAGGAACCGGTGCCAGTACTGCCGGCTGCAGAAGTGCTTCGAAGTAGGAATGTCCAAAGAGTGTAAGTGCGAGCCACGGCGCACCCCTCCCTGCCTTAACCGCAAGTGCGTTTACTCCGCTTCCAGAATCTAACCATGAAGGATGTTAGTGTGACATTCAGGCGTGGCGCTGATGGCAGGAGTGCCATGGCCAGGTTAGTCAGAGATAGAGTGACAATGGAGGGTTCCTGATGAACCTTGGGTGGCACTTGGTGAAAAGCAGGCAGGAGGTGCCGAGGCTGCGAACCGCAGAGCTGCCGGAGTAGGACACCGGAGCACAGCGTTCCGCACACCCAGTGGCCTCTGCATTGCCATGTTAACATGCTATCCATGCAGGGTCCTTGTTACCAGAGGGTGAAGGTGCATAAGGGCCAAGAATATTGACAGAAGTACTAACCGCTCGATGGGGATGGGGTGGTGCTGTGAAGTTGTTTTAGAAGGAACATTTGGGCATTTGGAACATTGGCATTTTTCTCAAGTTGACTTAGATTTTTCTCTTCTAAACCACTTCCCAATAAGAATACATTGTATTACTACGAAAGAGAACATTGTAATAAATTAATATAGTTTATTGGATCATAAACAAATTATAATAGAGAGTTGACTACACCTGCTTTAATGCAAACGTTTTTCATTATATTTTCTCCTTGATGTTTTCACATAAAGGAAGAGGGACATACTAAGTTCAGAGTTTGGGCAGCAGGCCTAAGACCTCGTAGCGTGTCCCAGGTGGAAGGCTCGGGCCTAAGACCTCGTAGCGTGTCCCAGGTAGAAGGCTCGGGCCTAAGACCTCGTAGCGTGTCCCAGGTGGAAGGCTCGGGCCTAAGACCTCGTAGTGTGTCCCAGGTGGAAGGCTCGGGCCTAAGACCTTAAAGTGTGTCCCAGGTGGAAGGCACGGGCCTAAGACCTCATAGTGTATCCCAGGTGGAAGGCTCGGGCCTAAGACCTTATAGTGTGTCCCAGGTGGAAGGCACGGGCCTAAGACCTCGTAGTGTGTCCCAGGTGGAAGGCACGGGCCTAGACCTCGTAGTGTGTCCCAGGTGGAAGGCACGGGCCTAGACCTCGTAGTGTGTCCCAGGTGGAAGGCACGGGCCTAGACCTCGTAGTGTGTCCCAGGTGGAAGGCACGGGCCTAGACCTCGTAGTGTGTCCCAGGTGGAAGGCACGGGCCTAGACCTCGTAGTGTGTCCCAGGTGGAAGGCACGGGCCTAAGACCTCGTAGTGTGTCCCAGGTGGAAGGCACGGGCCTAGACCTCGTAGTGTGTCCCAGCCTCATAGTGTATCCCAGGTGGAAGGCTCGGGCCTAAGACCTTATAGTGTGTCCCAGGTGGAAGGCACGGGCCTAAGATCTCGTAGTGTGTCCCAGGTGGAAGGCTCGGGCCTAAGACCTTGTAGTATGTCCCAGGTGGAAGGCTCGGGCCTAAAACCTCGTAGTGTGTCCCAGGTGCAGCTCGGATAGCACTGCTGCTCGCTCATTCATTCCATCATTTTGGGGTGTGTTAAAAGCTCACTGTGTGGGGATCACTGGGCAAGGTGCTACCAATAAACTGTGGAAATGCCCATGTCCTCCATGAGCAACAAGAAACTAGGTAGCGTATCCAGGATCTTACTGTAGGCTGAAAGAGCTGTGTGTGAACTAAGGCCTCTTGGAGTTTGAACCCAAGAAGTATGCTGGAGAGACACCTGGATGAGGAAGGAGAGGCTCAGAAGCCAGCCACACTGCTCCAAGTGTGGTGGCTTGTGGGACCAGGGACTGAGTGGCTATTTCTCAGCAGACAGACAGACAGACACACACACACACACACACACACACACACGCATGCTCTGGTCCTATGCTTTTCTCTCTCTCTGTGCTTGGGTCTCTACACTTCAGGATTTGGATTAACACAGTCAGCTCACGCCAGTGGGCTGTGCATTCTAGCCATGACACTCAGTTGACCTCATGGACATATGACCTAGACCAGTCCCAAGAGAGGCAATTCAAAATCCTGTGTAGAACATTGGGATAGATGTGCCCTCCTTTCCAATGTATGGAAATACGAAAACATATGAGCACAAGTACCTTGGTAGCTGTCCTCTGACCCCAAAGGAAGTCAGCTGCAGGGTGTAACTGCCCTGCAGATGGAAAAGTGGATGGTAAGATGAAGGAAAGCCAGCCCTCGATGGCAGCCGTGAGTTGCAGGACTGGCCAACCCTACGACCCCTGCCTCACATCGTCTGTTTTCTAAGAGCTACGCACTATGGCCTTTGGAACTGGGGTCCTGTTCATATCTACAGTTCCCAGGAAGGAGCAGGAGCTAGGCCCCTAGTCAGAGCATCTGTGCAGACCACTTCCTCAGGCAGCTGTCTGCAGACTAGTCCTGTGACCACTCTTCATCTGGCCCTTGATCCAGCCACAGAGCTACTGTGTTACAGGAGAAGAAATGTGATGCTGTGGAGCTGATGTTCAATTAGTTCAGGGCCTACAGTCTCACCCCGCCAGGGATCGTGTGCAGATCTGAAATGGCCATGCCATTTACATGGGTGGTACTGAGAGGGTCATCTGACACTCCAGTTTTGATCTGACATCCTGGCCATGTCACTTACATGGATGGCACCTGATGCTCCATTTTTGGTCTGATGTTTTCTTGGCATGTATATTAAATGCATCTCGGTGGGAGAATTTCAATTCAGACGACAGCTGTAAATGAGTGAGCCAGACCTGAATGTTGGGAAAACTGTTACTTTTGTATTTATTTTGTGTGAGCTGGAGACCCATTTCCTGTTTACATTACTTAAAACCTGTATCCTGATGCTGTCAAAACTGGCAGCTTGGTTGGCAATTTTAAAAAGTAATGTTTACACCCACAAGAAAACCCTAGCGTCAACTCTCAAGGAACTTATCACCTTAATTAGATTTTAAAATACAGACATGGAGAGAAAATGGGGTCATTACGTCCAAGGACACAAAAATAAATGTTTTTCTTAGAAGGAAATTGAAGAGGTAATAAGTACTTGGAATACAGGGATTAAGAGTCTAATGGAATATTTTTAAAGCTGAGCTAGAAGCAGCAAATACGAAACTAGATAACCAATTACACCACAGCGTCGTCATAACAGAATGAACCCAGAGCAACAGACCCTTGTGGAATGTTAGAACTGAAAAGGGATCTTAGGGATGAGTTTCACCTGCCTGACACCCAAGTGGCACCAGAAAGATGAGCCAGTGAGCTTCCAGTGCACAGGACCCGCCTCTCCTCGCCTCCCATGTTTACAATCTGAAATTCATGTTGTTTGTACCATGGGACGTGTGCATTTGTTAGGGAGAGTCACCGGGCACAGTGCTGCCCAGGGACCCTGAAGGGTCCTGAGATGTCCTCCAAGACTGTGGCACACAAAGCCAGGCACTCCACCCACGATCCCATTATGGGTTGGAAGAGCTGTTTTAAATGGAAAGCTCTTGGATTTGGGGGCTTGGGGCGCCGCCTGGCTGAGGGGGAGAAAGCCCCTTGAATGTGCATGACAGACAGCCCTGCTCAACATGGGCTAGCTGAGAGAGAAATCAGTACGTGCCACTGAAAGTTCACGTGAGCTGCTGGCTCCAAGGTTTGCTGTTCCTTCTTCTTCATGCTGTGGCCGTGTGCTGCTGGCCACTTCCCGTCCAGAAGCTGTTCCCTGCGGCTGAAGAGGATGACCACCAGCAGCTCTAGGATGGTCTTCCTGGCCAAGAGAGACCTGGATTGCCATCATGCCACCAGAGCCTAGCCTGGGCTCCCTGTTGATCTGACTGCTCTATGAATGCTTGGCTGTCCATTGTCACCGCCTAGGTGGCTGTCCCAGGTCAGTTCTTCAAGCCCAGAACGCCTGGAGATGTAGGGCAAGAGTGTAATGGAAGCTTGCCCAGCGTCAGGTAATCCAAAAGACAAAAGGCTCAAGGGAAAAGCCTGTCTAGTGTTTCTGAGACTCTGGCTCACCCCAGCGCCGCAAACCCACCTATGACCTCACGTCCAGTGCGACCTTCGAATCTCATGATGCTGTTCTTGGGGCATTCACCACCTTCTCCTTTCTCAGCTCCTTCTTTCTTCCTCCTGCCTTTCTCTAGGGGTCTATGGAGCCCACACTGGCCCTGAACTCACCATGTAGCCGAGAATGAGCTTAAGCTCCTGACCCTCCTGCCTTCACCCCCTGGGGGCCGGTGTCCGGCAAGTACCACCACACCCGGCTCCTCATTCTTTATGTTTGGAGGGAGGAGGTGGCCCAGAGCTATCTAAGAGTCATATTACAGTGGTAACTAACAACAGGGTTTTCTCATGCCTGGTACTGCTCTGACCATTTTCCCCCAGCTCACATTAACCACCACCCCCGCCCCCTGCCACACACACACATCATACTCTCTCAGCTCAATGCCTCCGTTCTTCTTCCTAAATAATCTCCTTGGTGCTAAAGAGATAGCTCAGCTCTCTCAGAGGACCCAAGTTCAGTTTCCCAGCAGTCACATCAGGCAGCTCACAACTGCCTGTCGCTTCACCTGTAGGGATCCGACACCCTCCTCTGGCCCCCCACAGGCACGTGCACAAACCCACAGTTAGACACATGCATATACATAGATGTAAAAAATAAAAAGAAGCCTTTGGTCTCCCTCTTCTTTCACACATATTTCATATATAAAAGAACATTGTTTTTCTGAGTCTGGCTTATTTCAGTTAAACTGATGATCTCCAGTTCCATCCATTTTCCCACAAATGACATGATTTCATTCTTTTAAAACTTGGGGCTGGAGAGATGGCTCAGCAGTTAAGAGCACTGACTGCTACCTGGGTTCGATTCCCAGAACCCACAAAGCAGCTACGAACCGTCCTTAACTCCAGTTCCAGAGGAATCCGAAGCCCTCTTCTGACCTCCGTAGCACTGCATGACATGGGTGCACTCACATACCTGCAGGCAATACATTCACACACATAAAATAAAAATAATAAAAAACGCTCAATTATTTACATAAACTATGTTTTCTTTATCCATGCATCTGCTCACCTGCTGATGGGCTC